GTGTGTGTGTGTGTGTGTGTGTGTGTGTGTGTGTGTGTGTGTGTGTGGACGCAGATTGGACCAGAAAGGAGCACCAACAGAACATCCAAGCAGTTGTGTGCGTTTTCAGCCTGTATTTCTTTTTTATAATGTTTTTACAAGAAGATATATTTTGTTTTTCTTAAAGTCTTTAAAATCAAAGTATTAAAATCTTTATTTGAATGAACTGTGTACATATTCGTGTAACTACGTTCTGTAAAAGGGACCAGTGCAGGTCCGACTCGTCGGCTGCGTGGGTTTATTTCACTGACTTTCTTTAGGTCTCCATCTGAAATGTTGTCAAATTTACACTGTCCTTTTTATTTATTAAAGTTTTTTAAATGTAACGTGCGTCATTCTTTTAAAAGTTTTAGCTTATTTAAAATAAAAATAGCTGTTTAGATTAAATAAATAAATAAAAACCTCTTTACAGTCAAAGATTAGTTTTCCTCTGCTGGGTGTGAGAAGTTGCCCTTTTACCCCCTCCCCACCCCCATCTGCTCGTTATGGAAAGAAAAAGCTTTAAGACAATAAAGTTACGGCTTCATTAAGATTCCAGGAAATGCTGGCTTAAACTCAGCCACATAAAATGTTTCTGTGCTTTTAAACAAGCCACCATTTTTATTCTTCTGCGCCCCAGAAAGGAGCGGGGAGCCCCAACAGATAAGGATAATAACTCCGCCTGGGGCCAAAATAAGAGCCCCAGATTTCCTCCGAGTCTCTCCTGCTGCCTCTGAATTCAAAGTGTTTACATGTCGCTCCCCCAGACTGAGCGGGATGAAATCTAAACAGTAAAAGGAGCTCTTTGTTAACTGCTGCTGCGTTAGGAGCTCCATTTTTCTCTCTCATCTGATCAACTTGTGTTTGACATTAGACTGCAAACGTCCTTCAGCATCTCTGAACGTTTTCAAAGCCCATCAGGTCTTTAGCTAATGATTTAAATGTAAGAAATAGATGTGCCACACACCCACTGGTAAACACCCGGAGCTTCATCCTCCTGCTGCTTTTGTGAGGATTCTGATGCTCTAAACCGGAGCTTCTCAAACTATTTATCTTCTGACTCCAAAAGTCTTTAACTGAACAGCAAGAAAGTTGTTAAAAAGGTAAAAAAAAAAAAGACTAAAAAACAGTTTCATTGAATATGCAGAGAATCCTGACCGCTGATGGACATTGCTGATATGTGCCAAATAAGCTACGAGTTGCTAAAGCTAAAAAAAGCAGATAACTAGCTACAAAGCAAAGTAGCAAACTCTTAACTAAAAGCTAGAAGTGTGAAAATGCAGCTAAGCAAAAGGCTAGTGTAGGCTAAATTATGCAAAAGGTCTGGCTAAAAGTGGCAAAAAGCTAGTCAAAATTAGAAAAACAAAATGTAAAGTTGCAGAATAAGTAGCTAAAAGTAGCAAAAGGCTAGGTTAAAAGTAGCCAAATGGTAGCTAAAAGTTAATGGTAGCATAAGAAGATAAAAGCTAGCATGTTGAAGCAGAACAGGATCTCGCGTAGTGACCCCCGTGACCCGAAAAGGAAGAAGTGAGTAAAGATGATGGATGGACGGATGGATGGATGGACGGATGGATGGATGGATGGATGGATGTTTTAAAAAGTATAAAATGTTGCCATCTCCTGAATGAGCTGAATGTTTTGATGTGTGAACAGCCGAAACGCCCTAAAGTTTGCAGAAGCTGTTCGAGTGAAGGAAAACAAAAGTATACAGAAAAAATAAATATAATTAAAACGAAAAAACAGTGTGAACAATAAATGCATAAAGACAATAAAATGAATAAACTCATTCTACTTTAATTATTATTAAAGTATTATCACAGGATTCCCGAGCATGCATCAGGATCTACTATTTCCCCCCTGTTCATGTAATCTTTTGAAAGGAACGTGATAAAATTGTGCGAGTAGGAATAATTTAAAAAATTTCTTTTGATTTCTGCAGATCATTTCAGGATCTCAGGTTTGCCGTTTTTGCGTCCTACAGTGTGCACCGCTGCTCTAAACTCACCATCCTCCCATTCCCAAGCTCTAAAACAAGCTGAAGAGCAAGTTGTTTCTTGTGACAAAAACAAAACAAAAGCATTTACCTTGAACATGGCAGGTGTGAACATCTTCATTTCAGACTGATTTTTTTTGTTTTAGCTCCCATGGATACAATTAAATTTGCACACAACGTATAATAAGACTTAAAATCCTTTTATTTCCCTGTTTGCTCATTTCTTGCAGGATTTAGACAATAAAAGGCAGAATCCTGCATTTGGCAATAACTTGTAAAAGATGAACAGATGCAGTCACGTTTGGCATGGTGGTCTTGGATGCTGCATTTCCTACCAAGGTCGGCTCGTCCGTATGAGCCTGTTTGATACCTGCTCATTATCCCGAGCCCTCACAGCTGAGCAGCTCAGAATCACCCGGGGGCCACCGCTCCAGCGGCGCAAGAAATCCAGATGTTTCCCGTAAACTCGGACGGAAAAAGCTACAAAACTTTAATTTGCAGTAAAAAAAAAAAAAAAGTGTGGGGGGGGGATAAAGTAAAGGTTTACGCTCTGTGTGTCTCAAATGGCATTCTGTGTTTTGGTGAAAAAGTGAAGCTTTTGAAACTTGATGTGAACTTTTTGTTTGTTCGTGCGCTGGCAGAGCGGAGAGTCAGCTGTGTTGGCTGCCACCGAGACAAAACGCCCTAGTCAGGCTTCAAGTATGCCTCAGACGCTCCTCTCCGTCCTCATTTTACTTTGCTTTTGTTTGTGGGGCTGGTTTTAAGAATCTCTTGAAAGAAAACATCTTGCATCACGGAGATTTAAGTAAAGGGCAAAAATCAACTGGATTTCAGAGGTTTTACTATAAAACAAGACGACTAGATTTTTGTAAAATGATAAAATTGTGCTCGACAGATAAAGACCAGTAAAGACATGTTTGTCAGTGTGAAATAATAAATGTTTCTAATTAAAATAGAGATTGTCCGGTCATCTGGACGGTTCACTTTTTTAAATGTTTCGTCTTTCATCCAGAGGACTTCATCAGTCCGAGGAACCACAGCAAACTGAGTACCATAAGCAGCACAGTCACATAGTGGACCAACAAGTTTGAAGGTGATAAGATGGTTTCTGGAGTCCGCCCTCTCCCCCGTCGACTCCTCTGAGGCAGCCATAGCCAAAGTGATTCAAAACATCAAAGTTCATGTTCAATCCAGGTAAAAAAAAAAATCCTACAAAATTAAGTCGGGTCCTCCAGACTTTGATTTTGTGAATAACTTTGGCTGTGGCTGCCTCAGAGGAGTCGACGGGGGAGAGGGCGGACTCCAGAAACCATCTGATCACCTTCAAACTTGTTGGTCCACTACGTGACTGTGCTGCTTATGGGACTCAGTTTGTTGTGGTTCCTCGGACTGATGAAGTCCTTTTTGGATGAAAGACGAAATGAAACCGTCTAGAAGACCTAACTTAACTTTGTTGGATTTGTTTTGTTTTGTTTAACCTGGATTATTGAGCATGAACTTTGATGTGGCTAAATAGGTTGTTCAGTTTTTTGTTTCTCTTGAATATCTTTCAAATGTCTTAAAATGATCCGATTTGTTCTATAACTCAACTTCCTGTTGCCATTCAACGCTACAATCAGGACCCAAAACCAAACACTCAGAAATAAACAGCCAGGTGCTGCTGGTCAGTGTATAGATAAACTAATTATCTTTTAATTAATATAAAATTACACTTCGCAAAAAATAAAAACATGTGCGACTAAGGGTTTGGAGAAAACCTCCTCATAGAACCGACTCGGGTTTAAAGAAAAACCTCAGTAACTGTTGAGCACGGCAGTGGTGGGGTAATGATTTGGGCTCGTTTTGAAACCAGTCCACCTTGAATTCCTTTGTAGACCGAAAGATTTCCGAGTCAATGAGACCGTCTGTCGGACAGCTGAAGCTCGGACCAAACGAGACGACGATCCCGAACACAGCAGCTAATCTACAACGGAACGGCTCAAAAAGAGAAGAGTGGAGATGGTCCGGTCTACGTCTGAACCTGCTTCGAGTGCCATTGTAAGATCTCAAGCGCGCTGAGCAAAAAGAAAAGCCTACAAACCTCAAAGTTCTAAAGAAGAATGGGGCAAAACTCTAAAAGCAATCTGAGAAAATGAGACCTGCAGGAAGCGATCATAAAAAAATGACTGCTGCTGACGATGGATCATCGGCTGTTTGTTGCTTTTGGGTCTTATTTGTTAAACAGTTAATGACATGATGTAAAATGTCATGTAGCATGTACTTATCGGTTTTAATTCTGCTTTTAATAATGTTTCAGTTTGGTAAAGTCATGAACCTTGTGATGAAGAAACCTTTTTTTTTTTTTTTTTCTAACCAATAACGTAAACGCACCACAAAAATTAACTAAATTGAAATACCGTCATTTTTGCTGTATAAGTCGCAGTTTTTTTTTTCATAAATTAGCGTGCCTGTGACTTATCCAGCAAAACGAGGTATTTGGTTTTTCCCCCCATATTTATTTATTTCTAACAATTTTTGGCAGAGATCTGACAATTTCATTAATTCTGACATGGAAAATAATGCGCACTACCATTTTCAACCACTAGAGGGCCCTCGACTAATATGGCAAGCCAATTGTCTCATTAATAGGTAAAAGTGGATATTAATGACACACTTGGCTTGCCATACCATGCTACCTTCATTTGAAGGTGTTGCCCCGGCGAAATGCAGCTGATTTGACCATTAATGTGCATTTATTAAGGAAAAGTTAAACTGAGAACACATTTGCTATAATTTTGAGCAAACAAATAAGTGTTAATCTTGTTTCTTGTTAAAAGTCCTCCTGTGCACGCTCCCGCGTTGCCATTTGGCAGCCAATCGATTTTTGGCACACCGGCCCAGAAGAAGAATAAATCTGCAGAATAGGGCGTTTAGTTTCTTTATGATGTCCCAAAAAGTGTTCACGTTTCAGTAAAATTCCATTTTCTT